AGTCCAGGTAGACAACGTCGACTCCCACTCTGCCATCGGCTGACTCGGTCCAGCTTGCTCGTGCTAACAGTAATTTTGTAGTGCAGGATCGTTTCGGTGGAATCCGTGTTGCTGTGACACCAGGATGTCGTTGCTCTCAAAATATCCCATGAGCGCCTTTGCAATTATATGTTCCATTAGTTTGGACAAAGCTGGGAGGAGGGTGATTGGACGCTAGTTCGAGGACTCCAAACGATTGCCACTTTTGTAAATAGGAGTGACTAGACCATTTTTCCACATTACCTGAACCTGCATTTCGTCGAGAAAACGTTGAAAGAATGGAGCTAATCGTTCGGCAAGGTTCATGGCCGTTGTCTTTAAGGCCTTCGGTTTGATGTCGTCCACACCAGGTGAGCTGTGCACGCGCAATGACATTAGCGTTTTCATCACATTGGCTGCCGTGCACGATACGTGGTTTAATCCTGGTGCCAATGGAAGCTGTGTAAAAAGCGGATGAAATGTTGCTTCACTCCGGAAACTATGGATGAAGTGTTGGCGAAGCAGTTGGCTGCATCTTGTGCGGTTTGCGCAAAACAATCTGGTGCACGTAAAACCGGGATCCTGCGCTGCACTCTGCGGAGCTTGTTGAGGCGTTTATACAGCAACTTGGGATTTGTACTGAATTTCCGACGCTATGTTCTTTTGGTGCTGGAGTTTGTCCTCCCAGATCAACTTGACACAGTGGTTTCGTTGAGTTGTCTAAGTACCCAAGGTCAGGTTACTTGGACAGGCTTTGTAAGCGCGCCAAGCTGAATCCCTTAAGCCCATGCATTTTCTACTACGGCTCCTCAGGAACGAATTCACTTGCTTCGGGCGAAGGACTTTGCTTTCTGACGCATTTACCACTAGCTCAGTGAATTGGGTGACGAACAACATCCAGGCGACATTGGGCGGCTCCTCGGCCAGGAAGGACCAGTCCGTTTCTTGAAGGAAGTTGGACAGTTTATCGTAATGTGTAACAACATAGGTTTCCACGTTGTTCTCACTGATGTACTCCGAGTAACAGATGTAACGAAAGAGCGACATCGCGTGATCGCTACGGCCAAGTGGTGCATCTATGGTCACGGTGTCGACCATTAGTTCCTCGTTGGAGAGGTCCAAAACAGAGGGTGTCACTCGTTCGGAATCGCGTGGGAGAGGTGACATGGTTGTACAGAGGTACATCGGCGATCACCTCTTGCAAATCCGTCTTGAATCGTTCGCAGTGCGATGCTGGAACTTCGATTGCGTGCAGGTTGAAGTCCCTCACCAGAAGGACGTGACTGTATGGTCGTGTCAGGGCTCGTTTCATCGCAGAAGCTAGGCAATGATCCATTTCCAAGGTGGACATTGGAAGGCGGTAAACTATTGCTGGGAAACACATCACCACGTTTTAGGTGCATACGACAACAAAGAGCGTCGAGGACTTGCATTTCTAGGTCCTCAATGACATCAGCATGCAGGTCGGATCTATAATACAAGAGCACTCCCCATCCTCTGCTAGGTCGATCGTTTCGTATGGAAGTCAAGCCGGGTAGTGCAATCTCAGCATCCGTGGTCTCCGTGTTCAGCCATGTTTCCGTGACCATAACTAGGTCCCAAGGCGTGGAGATCTGACGTATACGAATTTCGGTAAGCCTGTTGAGAAGACATTGTGCATTGATGTACAAGCAGTTGAGGGCATCGGTGGTCAGAAGCGTGTTTGTGAATGCTGGTTTCCGGTGAGGGTCTATGCCGACCCTTGCGGGGTCGACTGCTGATCGTCATTGTGTAGGACCAATGACGCAGGCCCTAGGGCAGTTCAGGTTGTTGTATAGCGTTCTCAGCGCCAACAAGAGGGTGACCATCCTGTCCTCCTTCAGCTGTCTCTGTGTTTTGGTTTTGTCTCCGTTCTGAGCCAAACAGTGACAGAAGTGTATTGGCAAGTTGCTTGCTCAGTGTTACATTCTATAGCTGTGGCCCGGTGCCTGTTGTCTGTATACGTATCTCGGATGGCAGCATTTTGCAGTTTTTGTGCCATATTTTGATCACGTGTTCTACCATCAGTTCGGAGTGCAATGATACTTTCATCACTCGGGGACCACACCATAAGTAGTTAGGTGATAGCGGTAACCTTGTTGCCGAAGTAGCGATAACATTTTCGAGTGAGAGTACTTCATGAATAAAACGCCACTCATCCCAGTCATGCGCTTTGACCTCTAGCTCGCTTAGTGACTAGAGCTCGGGGACACCGTGAACAAGGATAGATTTTGCGTCTTGTTGTTTACGGAAGTCATCCGGAGTTTGTTTGCTTTTCTGGCGTCCGCTCCAGGGAACATCTGAAAATATTCGAACAGTGTATGTGGTGGTACGGAGGCGAGTGGCTGACGAGATAACTGCCTCTGCATCATTATCTGAATGAAGTGTTACCTGGAGTAACCGCGGTTCACCGTAATGTAGGGAGTTTGGGTGACGGACGAAATGCGTCATACTGACTGGTTTAGCTTGAACCCTTATTAGTTGACACAGGGAGTCCCATTGTCTTTTGTCGTCTAGTATCTTATTTTTGTGGAGTTCGCCCCGGATGCAGTCACATTAGAGCATATAACAGTTGGAGAATTATGCTAGTGTTTCATGTTCTCCTTTTTGAAGGGACTAGTGGCTGCTTGCTTCGGTTAGACAAGTGATGGGGTCTTGAGCCCCATGGTGGTATTGTCAGTAGTAAATCGTTTGGCAGCGAGCGGGGTTGTAATGGGAGTTGCCTCCGTCATATGGGTAGCAACAACGCAAGCGTAAATTGTCGCCCCCCTAACCGTGTTTAGCGTGGCGGGGTATTCTGTTGAGGAACGTGTGGCGAACGCATCTTTATGAGGAGATGCTAGTGTCGCAGTGGCTCCTTGGATCGTTACTCTTACACTGTGCTGAATTGGAGCTTGATGCTGAGCATCGAGTTCGAGGCACTGATTTGTCTGGTTCGTGTGGGACAGTTTTCACGGCTACTGCCTGCTCTACAATCTTTGTTAGCCTATCGTAGTTTTGCGCCAACACAGTTAGACATCTAACGTGTGGAAGAGACGTACACTTAGTGCAGAACCAGAGGGAATCAGTCGTACTATTAAACATTTTTATCTGGCTGAGACTAAGGCGAGCACATCGAGAATGGAAGTATTTTCGGCAGTTTCTGCATTCTATTCCAAATCATACAAGTTTTACACAGCCGTCTACGCCACAACTAACGTTTATTTCGGAAAGTTTGGGCTTAACTTTCCGTGGGTAACCAGTACGTGCCATTGTGACTGTCAGATCTGCGGAAGACGTTCGTTGCAAAGTCTGCACTGGTATGCTGAATCCAAACAGCGTCGGTCAAGCTGGTAGTTTGGCAGACACATGTTCGACTGCTGTAGAACAAATCCAAGATGGCGGACACCAACGGCAGTTGGGCCAATCAGTGAGATCTTCGACAGTAGCCGGAGAATATCCACCAAATTCGCACAGATGGAAAAATGCACCAAAAGCAAAGTATTGGTGCAAAATTCACACAGAGCAAACACGTATAACACAGTATTTCCAAAGCAAAAGTAGAATCCAGCACGGTAAAGCAAAAATCTGTGGCGTCCGTGGGTACAGGCAAACTTTTAACGCCATGAGCACAACGGAACCTGACTGCAAATCGCGCCCACTTGCTTGAAGATATTTCTGTGCATCATTGATTTATAAGAGGAGAGATCTCCAGAGGCTCAGAAACGAGATAAATGAAAATGACGGTACCGAAATGAGAAGTACAGTTGCATCTAATCTTGTGGTGGCCTTTTACCCTTCTGCAAACTGATTCAAAGTAATAGCGATTTACGAGTATTTCTTCACCAAAACTATTCCATCTAGCGCCCGCAACCGCTTGAAATTTAGACCATGCAGTTACATCAAGATGTTTCAGGAAACTGTAGTTGTAGAAGAGAACGAGAATACTCACTTCCTTACACCAAAAAATGTAACAGAAGGAACCGTGGCAGAACCTATACGTAAACAAGACATATTCAGGGAATAATCTGCGCACGGCACAAATACAGCTTTTTGGGTTGATTTCGCAGATGCGCTCCTCGACACTCAATCGGTAGCCCGCCATAACGACAGCACTGTCAAACGTCCTACCACGGCAGTCATCAATCTGAACTCCATCCTCTACTTATCATAAAATCAGTCCGGAAATTTCCGCTGCGTTTCTGCCTTTGGTCTCACTCACATGCAGAAACGAATCCTCAACGTGCACTTCATTTGTATTCATTTGTTACGTAGCCCGACACCTCGTTCACCCGATTTTTGTGAGACACAACGGGAGCGTTATCGAAAATTAGACAAAAAAACGCTTTCTTTGACCTAAGCGACGATTCCTTTTTCGCCTGCTTAGCCAAAATGTTCACAACTCCATTTGGAACATCTGGAGACAAACAAGCAGCTAAACAGTCTGTAAATGCTTACGAAGAACCGAATCATACTTAGCCAACAAATGTACAAACTATGAAAATTTCCTCCATTTTCCTGGCTTTATTTATTATCCTGGAAGCATTTTCGTGGACCAAGCAGTACCATGCTCTGTATGGCGATAAACTTGATCATATCCATTAATCTAGCTAGAAATTCATACTACGTATTTGTTTTCGTTGCTACAAGTGTTTGCTCCATTTTATACAAGTTTCTTTCATTAGACTAGCTATATCTCTAGTTCCTTGAAGTTGAGGAATGCTTTAGCAGGCGATTCACTAGAATTGTGTTCACATATTTTTGGATTCAACTTTTATCAGTTTTTAAAACTATAATTAATCGAAAAAACCAGACTATTCCTTTGAAAATATTCTGCAGTTGAAGCAAAATACAGCCTCTTTGGAAGTATACATCGTCCGTGCATATGGATGCCGAAGGCCACCAGTTCGACTTGGAGTAGGTCAAAATCCTCGGAAGAGCCACAAGCTGGCAAGCACGTGAGTTTATTGAAGCCTGATATTCAAAGCAGAACTCGATCAATAAGCACTTAGATCTGGAAGTCGCTTAGGAGATTATGCGAAACAGGACCTTAAAGTCGCACTGATGATGTTACCTAGTCTGACAGCGAAACGTTTGCAAAATAATCATTCAGCTCGGAGAGCAGTGTAAAACCCACATCGTCCATATTCGCAATCTTTGCTCTCCGTTTTGCAACTCTCGAATAAACCAGTGTGTTGTTAGTTTCAGCTTCAACTTTGTATTCGTCGCAAGTCGCGCTACTTCTTTGAATTCATGATCGAGGTGTTGGAAAATAGCAGCTCCCAGCCGGAAAAGTATAGTGTGAGTATCATGGCCAAACTTAACAGGCCACATATCGACATTCGTAAAATCGGTTGATATACATGTTATCGTGCGAGGTAGTGGCTGCCATGTTATCTCTTTACATTTGCGTGTATCTTCTGCATCTGCATTACAGATATTTTTCGCCAAGTCAATGCTGTTACTGTTGCTTTTTATTGTCCAGGTACCAACGTTTGCAGTACCAACTTCATCTTCAATCACAGTTCTATCCCATCTACCGTGTATGCAAACGCCATAAAAGGGCGGCCAGATGTCGCCTATTGGCAGCGGCCGAAGTGATGGCCAATCGGCTTTCATGATCAGGATATATATGCACGTACGAAATTCGTCCGGGTACTCACCCTACCCTTGCCCTCTGTAATGCTGCCACGTTGCGTGGTGAACAGAACACACACACACACCGTTGATCACTGTAGGCCCAATCACCTAGCTTGGGCCCTTAGTCCATCTAGGCCTATGATCATGTACCCTTATCCGCTGTTTACGTTTCCATGTCATTCGCACGTATTGTATTAGTCTGATGAAGAACCACTGAAAACAAGAGCTTGTTCGCTAACGCTTTTCTGAATTCAAGTGGATCAGGTAGTGAATGATCATTCATACGCCTTTTTCAGTGCTTGTTAAAGTTATTAATGATGGTCATCAGCGAAAAGCGAGAGATCCAAGGTGATGAGACGCGTAGGCTGATTACTGAACACAAGAAAGAGACAAGGCCCCAGAACGGATCCTCTTGTAACACAGCATTCGACATTAATGGGAGCGAACACCGTACTTCGAACTCTAACCTGCAGTCGCCGCTGCGGCGGGAAATCACTGATCAAAGTAAGAACACCACCCAACTCCGTAGCTTTCCAGCCTGTAAAGCAGAATGCGGTGGTCCAGACGATCGAAGGCCTTGGCGAATTCGAGATAAATGCCATCGGTTCCTGTCCCTTCGTCGGTCTATTTCGTCCAACTAACGCGTGCAATTAGTAGGTCGGTTGTGCATGATCAGTGTTGGCAGAAACCCCTTTGCTCCAGTGAGAGGATGTTACGGCGTTCTAAACGGTAGACTAAGACCTCAGCAGTGATTGCTTCCATCAGCTATGAGAATGCAGGCTAGAGGACAATTGGGCGATAAGCCCGAGCGACTGGCACTTTTAAGAATTGGCGTTATTAGACCGTGTTTGCACATGGTAGGCACAATTTGCATATCCAATCACGTTTGGAAGAAATGCGATAATAGCTCGGCCAGCTTTATTGATGCTACGTTCCGTGCCCTCAGGTGAATGTCGTCAATTCCAGGGTAACTGTACGGGTGCAGTGAGCACAGTTTCCTCAATCTATTAGTGATGGCAAACGTGATGTGAGTAGTTGTTGAAGTTTGTGAGGAGGAGTGTGGGTAGGTAACAGTGGCGAACGTCTCGTTGGAAGATTGGGGCATACAGCACCCGTAGAGGATTTACAGCTTTTTCAGCACTCTGTGCCAATCCAACTGTCATGTTAAGTGGGTAATAATAATAATAATAAAGTGCCAGCTGTACGCCGTAACTGCGCTTCGCTGCCGCGCGACCACCACTAGTCGCGCGTGGGCTGAGTATAGCGCGAGGACGCCCGCCCCTACGCGGATTCGAACCGGTGACCTTGTGGTTGCAAACTAGACGCGCATAGCACTCGACCACCGGCCGAGGAATAGAATACTTCGTAGTTTGACACGAATACCTTGTGCGCACCCATATGAGAGTGCATTATGGATGAACCGAAAATCGGGCAGTAGACTAAGAGAAGCAAGTCGAAATCAGATACAGTTATTCAGCGCAAATAACTACCGACAGAAGTGTCAAAATCGTAGGTGCCCGTTAGTCGAGGTGTGCGGTTTTTCCCACAAACAACGTCAGCCCGCTGTTGCCTGGACCAATTTGATCAATTGATGAATTTGGAGGTAACTCTGACACAAAATGTAGGTGCTGTCAAATGGCCGATCGGTATAAATAAAAAAGATGTGCACAGTGGCGTAACAAGGATCTTTACCGCCCAAGGCGGTAACCAAATTTGCCGCCCCCTTCTCTAGCATAAGTTACTGCGTAAACTCTCAATATCGCGAACAACCCTTAATTAACTAATTTGTTTCAGAGAACAAAATTAAACGACAAACTTTACCATATGCGTAATTCACAAATGTACTTCTCATGCTTCACTGGCAATCAATAACATTATCAAAATGCAGTCCATCGGCCAGCTCTCTCTCTATGGAGAGAATTGCCAAGTCCTCGAGTCATGTCTGGCTTATAGCTGAGCCAAGGTAGCTTTAGAAGCTTGAGCTTGAAGAACGAACGCTCACAATTGGCAATCCTGACAGCCTGGGTAAGAAATATGCGTAACAAGATCACAATATTTGGTGTAGATCCCACAAGGTGATATTAATGGATGAAGCTCAGGAGTTTGAATGGACCATTGACTTCATGATTTCGGGAAGCTTACAGAAAATATTGCAATCTTCTCCTTTCCGTAGGAAATTCCTATTTTTTATATCCTCCTCAATTTCCAGAAGTGGGTAGGGATATTTGTCGTCAAGCAGATTCGACGGCGTAAAGAAAGCATATTGCCTTGCAAAATAATGGAGTTACTGAAATCTGCAGCCTATTTACTCCGTTAATCTGTGTATAATGGACAGCATTTCTCGGTGCAAATCTACTTCAAATCCCATTGATGTGTCAAACAACATTTCCCCTTCCATTCGTTTTTTTCTGACAGATTCGACGCTCCACGCTTATTCCTAATTCGTAGTACATGTTGCTGGATACGTTCATTAAACCCTCCACTATCTCCTCTCTGTTCTGAAGTAGGTTAGCTCTTAACGCTGTGGGCTTGACAGAACTTGGCACCAGATCCAGCCCTTTGATTCGAAGACACTGCTGTGCGTCATTTATCTATGGGAGAATGGAACTTCAAAGGCGGAGAAGTGAAATAAGAGGGAAACGACTGAACCGAGATGAGAAGTAACGATGCATCTGGCTTGTAGATGGTACAAATGTGACTTTTGGGTTGCTTTCGGAAATGCGTCTTTAGATTGTCAATCGGTAACCCGCCAGAACTGCAGCATTGTCAAATACCTGGCCACGGCGACCACCAATGCGAATTCCGTCCGTCTCCACTTCCTTCAAAATTAACCCAGAAATTTCCTCCGCGCTAATACTGTGTGTCACAACAAAGCGAATAAACGACTCCTCAACCCTCACTTCGTTTTCATCTATTTTTACACATCGCAACACCTCACTTATTTGATTTGTGTGGGGAAACATCAGGAGTGCTATAAAAAAGTAAGCAGAAATATTCGCTTCCCTTAACTTGATCAGTGATTGTCTTTCCAACCTGCTTCACTAAAATACTCACAAACTCGTTTTGATCTTCATCAGACAAATAGGAAGTATTCATTTTTGTCCACAGTTGAATTGTCACTAAATGTTCACCGAGTACAGGGTCATACTTCGCCAAAAAATGAACCAATTTTAAAAAGCCACCTCCATTTTCATAGCCTACTTTATCATCCGGGATCTCTTCTCGGTGACCACGAAACGCCATGTTCTGCTTGGCGAGGAACTTGACAATATCCAGTAATCGAGTTAGAACTACACGCCACTTTTTGTTCCCTTTTCCATAAATGTTTGCACGATTTTGTCAATTGTCTGTCCTTCAGTTAGTCAGAGCTCAAGTTCCTTCCAGTTAGGGAATGCTTACGCATGAGATTTACTAGATTCGTGTTCGTATACTTTTGGGCTTGATTTTCACCACTTCCGCAAACCCTCCTCTATCGAAAAGCTAGAATGTTCCGCCGAAAACGGTTTGCAGCAGAAGCAAAACAGGGATACTTTGGAAGGAGAATACGCCATCCGTGTCCGCAGTCTCTGCCTTCCGTTTAGCAAATCACGAATAAACCAGTTCTTCGTAAGCTTCCTCGCGCCTCCCTTTGTATTCGTACCAGGTCGAACAACTTCCCTGAATTCGTAATCGATATGCTGCACATCAGTCGATCCCTGTCGAATTAGCATAATACGCACTACATGGTCGATCGTAAGAGGCCACCGACCGACATCCGTAAAATCGGTTGATCAGAATGTCATCGTCCCAGGTATCGGTTCACTTTCCAATTTTTCCAATTCCCGCGCATCTTCTGCATCAGCTTCGCAGACAATTCCCGCAGCATCAATGCTGCAAACGTCGCCATCTGTCGCCTGGGTATCAGCGTTACCAACTGTATTTTCGTCCTCAGCATGATTCACTCCTTTCGTTTTTGTCACCTCGGTAATGGAAACAGCCTCGACGAATCTTAAGAAACCACCTTCATTCTTCTTGGTCTCCTCTTCTCTGGTCCTCATCTACCTACGGAACGCCGCACCACTTTCCTTCACACGCTTCATTAAAGGATATATACCGAAAATGCACATAATCTGAAAAACGCAGAAAAATGAAACCTATTGACCCCTTAATAATAAACAGCAAAAATACAGACATTAAAATAACGATAAGTGACAAAAGGACAGGAAGCGTTAAACAACCCGTTTCTATCGAAACAAAACAACAAAACCGTAATCGGACCACGGTATTGGGTAAAAACAATTAGTAACACCAAATAGATCAACCTGAGCAAGTTGCGACTTCACACAAATCCGCGTCAACAGTGTCCAAGTTGTACCAAATATCTTACGAATATGGATTAAAATGACAGCTAAACGCAATAACCCAGCCACAGTACGCGGCTTTTTATAGGAAAAATAGGCCGAGGGGAAACCGCCACAAGTATGTTGACGTGCGAATGTTTTCAAAGTACCATCTGCGCACACGTGTCGCAAAACTGCTAACTAATCGAAACAGTCGGAGATGGCAGTGTAACAAATGTGAGCTTTACCCACATCAATGTCCAAGTATGATTGTCCGATAGAACAGTGCAACGTATTGGGTCACCAACGATGCTACTGTGGATGTAATTGTACATGGACAATGGAGGAAAGTACGGTGGACTGGCGCAGAATTGGACGCGATGATTTCAATGCCAGCTGCATGTTGATACATGTCGTGACTAACAGAACAGAACAGATGCGGAAGCCAGACGGTGGATGATCCTTTGAGTGGGGTCAGTTTTCTAGGAAATTTTACACTTCGCACCTGCTGCCGAACACTCATCGGTCGGAAAACGCCGCCCGCTGTCAAGTGGCACCCGGGGCCGACCGCCCCTCCCCTGCTCCCCCTTGCTACGCCTGTGGATGGAAGTTGTGTCGGTCCCGTTATCTAAAGAATAGGTGTATAGATTACCCCAGGGGCCCCCTTTACTCGCCAAGAGCACTACTCGTCTTAAATGTGCGATGATGCAAACTTGCCTACGTATGGCGTTACCATGAATCAAAAAACCGCGAGAACCTTGGCGCTCTAACAGCTAGGATGATTTGCTAACTCCCGCTTTCACGGCTAATGCGTACGCTAGGAATCAGTCGTGAATAACCGTAGCCTTGACTGCATTGACCTAAACCATAAGCTGCACAATGAGGTCTGCTAGTTCGGTCTGATTCACTTGGAGACAAACGGCTTTCGGTAGCAAAGCTGCTCTTCACGCCTGCTCATGAGATAGTTCACAGTTGTTCATGCATTCGTCTAAATCCGAATGTTCACACAGATGTGTGGGCAGACTGCGCTATTTTTGCTGCATTACTTTGGTCACACGGCATGTGAGGCTATTATCTACGGTATCGGTAGATGGCATTCTGCTTGGTATTTCAGATGCAACAGTCTGTATACGCAAGTGAGGATGAATTGTCTTCGCTCGGTTTTCCGCCTGCGGTTGTGCTGGGTTCGTGTTTTCGAGCATGCCTTTATCGGTTGATGGCTACAAGCAGAGTCAACTAGCTTCCTCCTAATGCTTTTAATCAATCAGTACGTTTGATCATTGTATTCATGTGTTAACGGGCTACTGGGGACAAACTAAGCACCCATCCACCATAATTTCGAGTAAAAGCAACAAAAATGAATTAGTACTTCTGTTAGCTAGTCGACCAACTTACACTAACTGTGCCAGTTTAGTCTTTTCATGCTGCGGCTCATGTTGGTGATGCTTCGTTGAATTGGACACACATGCCCCATACGAGCTATTTGTTTTTGTTTATTATAGGGAATTTTACGTGTTAACTGTAATAATTCCCTTCGGTATGCGGGAGACTATCAGTCCATTGTTAGTGCTGATCCTGGATTCAGCTGTTAGCAACATACATGCAAAGTAAAAAACCCTCCCCAATTTCAATTCAACATCACTATCAGTATTCACCTTAGAAGTCTTGCAACATGTCATATCAGATTGTCCGTCAGGCCGACTCCGTTCCGGGACAACAGACCTTGGAGCGATTGCACGTTCCACGGTGTCTGACGAACAACTGCGTTAGAATGTGTCAAATCTCAGATGAGTCGTGTAGTTGAAGAAAGTCATCTCAACGATAACAGCGTATTTGAAATGAGTCTGAATACCGGTCACTCGGGTTGCCGGTAGAAGTGTTGATTGGTTCTCCAAACTGAGCCATTCGAGTGCAGACATTTCGTCAAGGTGGCATCCTCAATGCGGTCAAGCAGCTTGTTAGCAGGTACTGAGCTTCGAGCAGATTCAGAAGCGGATCTTGGATTTGCCGGAAGCACAGTACCTGCTAACAAGCAACTTGCTATTACGCACCGGTGATTCCACCTCGACTGGTGGTGAAATGTCTGCAGCCACATTGTTCAGCTCGGAGAACCAATCAAAACTTCGTTAAGAAGGTAACTGGTGGTTACCCTTTAGTTGGTCTGTTGCTGTCAGTTTGCCTGCAGACAGTTTGGGTCTTCAATGTTTGCATTATGCGAAACACGAACAGAAAGAATATCACTATATTTCCATAGTTAGTCAACGAAGCTGTGGTGGGCGGACTTACTTTTTCCAAAACAGTGCGATTTTATTCTAAACTCTTTAAGTGATCCATTATCAGTTGCTAGTTTAGCCGTTTTCCGAATGAATACAACTCAATTGTCTACGGAAAGTTAACCATGCTCACCTTGGTCCCTGCTCACAGGTGATATTGCGTGTAGACCAACACTGGCACCACCTGCGCCCTCACCCATCAAGGTGATTTGTGAAGGGTCTCCACGAAACCATTCGATGTTATCCTTGACCCACCGCAACGCAAGTAGTTGGTCCCATAAACCGTAGTTTCCTACTGAGGCAAAGTCCCCAGTAGATAAAAAGCCTGCGGAAAATAGAGAATCCGACTGTTGGTGTTAACTGTTTACAACACAACTGCGTAAAAATAGGATCATTTTATTCACTGAAGACGAAATATTTTACCAAATGGAATTATGACATCAATCGATGGAACACGCAGCTAAATATCGACACGGAAATATTTTGTTCCGGTAATGCTGAGGACATTCGCAGTTGTCTAGCTGACGATTTGTAAACTAATACTAGGAGTTAGGCTTCAGAGTTACTTTTCCTGGTAGCGCACCTCGTTCCAACAGTCAGTATCAAAGATGCGGTTAAGTGTGCTCCTGGTTACCAAAATCTTCGGCGAAGTTTATCCGCTAAGCTTAAGTCAAAATACGATTTTTATAAACAAAACAATGCAGGGATTTCTTCCTTGCAAGTAAAGAGCCAGAAGGCACACTGGTTGATCACCCGAATATTTCTAGCAGCACATCATCGAAATGTGGTTTAATGATAATCATGCCTGGCTCAAGTATAGTGACCTGGAGATTCCCCCGTATGACTGTGTAAACTATTCCAAAATATATTCAAATTATAGCTTTCTTATGTATTAGGGAATTAGGCCGTCTGCCTGTTGGAACGTTCCTGTTTGTTGGAAACACGAACACGATCTCCGCCTTTGGCGCGCGACTCGACTGCGAACGACGCTCCGTCAACGCACTCGACGCCCAACTACATCCTCCCTAGCTAGCTATCTTCTGGTGCCCTATTTTTAGCATTAGCTAACTCTCCTCCCGTCCAATAAACTTTTTCCCTAGCTTAATTTGTGTGTTCTACCCATTGCTTTTGGTTGGCCGTCTGGTTTCGTACCGAATATATAGCGCACGATCATCCCGCTATAACTGGTGAATCCGAAAATTTTTTGGTGAGTTTGATACTAATATTTCTTTTCAGATCCGGTGACTTATTCTGTCTACCCTATTATTTTTATATTTTACTATTTGGGATTATTTTCACAAGCTCCGTATTTTTTTTACCATGAAGGTCATTCACCGTGACTCTGACGATCAGGTTATTGGGTTCAGTTTCTCTATCCCGCCTTTCCGAGAGACTAATCCTAAGGCCTGGTTTAATCAGCTAGAATCCATCTTTCCGTTACATGGCGTTAAGTCTGACAGTGTCAAATTTCACTGCGTTGTCGCAGCGCTTCCTCCGCAAGTCGTCGATGACCTCGACGACTTCTTGGAGCTTCCCGAATATCAGAAAAGTTACGATGAGCTTAAGGCCGTAGTTTTAAAGCGATTCGGCATATCAGACCATGCTCGCGTTACGCAGCTTCTTAACGAAATCGAGCTAGGTGATCGAAAGCCTTCTCAGTTGCTGCACAAGATGCAGGCTTTAGCTAAACTTCTCTCTGTTGGCGACTCTCCTTAAAGAAATGTGGCTTCGTCGCCTGCCACGTGACATGCGTAGCCCCTTGTATGCAAACGATGTGCCTCTCTCAGATCGCCGACATTGCCGACCGTATTTGGGAATCCAACGCCCAAGTATCTCAGGTTCAGTCCACTTCCAGTACAGAGGTAGCAGAACTAAGAGCGCAAGTAGCCGCACTTACCAACCGACTAGAGAACCTAGCACAGTCCGGATCCAACCGCCGAAATCGTTCCAGTAGTCGCACTCCTCCTAGATCACATTCGAAAGCTTCTCCTAGGTCAACCTATTGTTGGTACCACGAGCGATTTGGTCATCAGGCCAGATCGTGTCGCCCGCCTTGTTTCTTCAAGTGCAACACGCAGGGAAACGGGCCGGCCAGCACGTAGGGGCGACGGAACTTGCTGGCTGCCTCATTCGCCTTTTCTTTGTCACCGATCGCAGTACGGGAGTATGCTATCCCGTTGACATCGGCGGAGAAGTCAGCCTTATCCACGTGATTTTAATAATGTTATCGAAGAGGCGACTAGTTCATTGCGCGCAGCAAACGGCCCCACCATTCGCGCGTATGCTGAACGCTCGCGCAAGCTTAATTTAAACCTACGACGTTCTTTTAAATGGATCTTTCTCGTCGTAGATCTCCAAACGCCAATGCTTGGCCTTGACTTTCTGCAGCACTTCGATTTGCTTGTTGACGCGAAGCAACGCCACCTGTTCGATCGTGAAACAAATCTGGCAGTTATAGGCACTTTGACCGACACTGAGTCAATCAGTTCTGTATATGCCAGCCAATCGAGCTCCGCTAGCTGTCAGATGTTTAATAACAAGTTCCTGGCAGTCTTCCATGCAATGGCACCGTTTCCATCCGCCACTGATGCTGCTAAACATCACATCGTTACCAAAGGTCCGCCTGTTTTTGCCAAAGCCAGGCAAATGACCCCTGACAAGTTAAAAATTGCTCGCGCAGAATTCGAGCACATGCTTGAACTAGGCATCGTTCACCCGTCTAAAAGTCCGTGGGCGTCGCCGCTCCACATGGTGCCCAAAAAGTCAGGAGACTGGCGTCCATGTGGCGATTACCGCTATCCTATTCCTCACATTCAGGACATCACGGCAAGCCTGCGCAGCATCCGTGTGTTCTCGAAAATCGATCTGGTTCGCGGATATCGCCAGAGTCCAATCGCTGAGCAAGACATACCGAAGATTGCCGTAATCACGCCGTTTGGGCTCTTCGAATTTTTGCGTATGCCGTTCGGTCTTCGTAACCAAGCCTAGACTTTTCAACGATTCATCGATTCAGTCACGTCAGGGTCACCAATTATAGCGCGATGATTGTGCGCTATATATTCGGTAGGAAACCAGACGGCCAACCAAAAGCAATGGGTAGAACACACAAATTAAGCTAGGGAAAAAGTTTATTGGACTGGAGGAGAGTTAGCTAATGCTAAAAATAGGGCACCAGAAGAGAGCTAGCTAGGGAGGATGTAGTTGGGCGTCGAGTGCGTTGACGGAGCGTCGTTCGCAGTCGAGTCGCGCGCCAAAGGCGGAGATCGTGTTCGTGTTTCCAACAAACAGGAACGTTCCAACAGGCAGACGGCCTAATTCCCTAATACATAAGAAAGCTATAATTTGAATATATTTTGGAATAGTTTACACAGTCATACGGGGGAATCTCCAGGTCACTACACAACTAGGCACCGATGTGTGACGTTTAACTGGCCAAAATCTACTGCCGATTGAGGCGGAAACAGCTACCTTGGCTATTGTCCGAGACCTGACCGATGTTATGATGAATTCAAGGCAAGTGGAATTGCTGCCACAGCGGGCGTATAGTGTTTCTAACCATCACTAGTATACCTTATGACGAACAGCAGTGACATACGAAATAGTTGCACATGTGACTTCGTAAAATTGACATAGTAACTTCCTTAGCTGATTGATTTACTTCGAGGGAGTTGCGGTGTACGACAAGCTAGTCCGGTCGAATGTTGTGAGCATAACGGACATGCGAAACTAAATGTCACAGTGTACATTCAAACGCAAGCCAATATCCTCTGTGAACTATACACAGGCACTTTGTCATTAGGCTATCTGCATGCGCTTCTTTACAGTGTCAAGCGAAGCCAGTCACTCGCCTGAACTCCAAGTCATGAGAACCAGTGTTGGCCAGAATTCATTTGCATAACCACCGCACACTGGTAGAACGATGGTCAGTGATAAAAGCGGGTACAATTTTCGAAAGTCTTACGCTGGCTTGTGTTATACCGCATTAGCGAGCAACCCGTCTACCAGTCCATATGTCGCAAATACTACTATTTCTTTCCAGGAGGGGTTTGTGAACGACAAGTACAAAGAACTCAAAATAACTCGAAATGCTGACAGATTGCGTACGCTGTACAGCTGTTCCAGTTCTGGATTTTACCAGCATAAGAATGCGTAATGAAACTACTGACAATCCCGCACTGACTATGTTACATCAGTCGGTGATAAAATCTTTTTCTATCTATGCAATAGGCTCACTCTAAGGAACAGCACTCTTATACATCTCCCGTTTGTGGGAACTAAAACTAACTGTGTGTGATTACCCACATGGTTGAATTCATAAATGTAAGTGCAATTGATTCAGGCAAATCTTCTGAGGGAAACCGAGCTGATGTGGTGATCAAGAGCTATGTGTTGGTTGTGATCGCGCCCGGTAGGAGATAATCTCAGGCTAAGCCTAACTTATGGGGTATCATTGATGGTGATGTCCCGAATTAAGACACACACCTATGTGTCTGCGACCGAACGTGTTTGACGCTAAGGGATTGGTTATGCGTCTAGTTACTTTGTTGTCATAATGGAAATTTAACTTAAGGCAAACGACTTACCAAACGGCCCCAATCGATAGTTGAAAGTCACAACGACCACACCCTTTGAAGCCAAAACATGTCCGGGATACATGTGACTGGAACCATGGACAAAGCCTCCGCCATGAATATGCACCACGACTGGGTACCGCTTAGTTGGGTCATCCCAAGTACGCTGAATAACAATGGAAACATAATCGCATCCACAGTGAAAAATTCACTCTTTGAAGGTTATGTAACTATCGCGCAAAAACACCAAGTAAAATATCTTTCTGGAAAGCAATTTGAAGCCGTTCTGTGTAATGCCAATGTGACGGTGCACTTGAACAGAGAGACGCGGTGGGCAGTGCACAGCTGACATGATGTCGGTAAGAAAATCAACCAGGTAAGTTGAGTAATATAACAAGTGCAACGCTGCAGTGCAAAATTCTGAGATTCCCAAGAAACTTTCACCACTTCGGAAGGACTAAATATCAGCTTAGAAAGTGAACATGAATGAAATATCAAAGATTTAGTATAATATGAGACGCATAAATCACATACTTTTAAGATGTTCTGAAAATGTACGCTCATCTACGACAGTAAAGTTGACAACCACAGGAAAGCTTGCATTGAGATAGCAGATAACCGCATTCATCAGAAATCTGTCCGTACAAGATCCCAAACCCAAAGATCGACATATATGGCTACCTCAAATTCATCTTATGCACTCTCCTTTTCCCAGCTTCAACGGTACCGTGACTCATGTCAGCACGTTCTGTTAAAACAGTTGTTTGCTCTCAACAACTTTGCTAGCTTGACAGAAATGTGGAGCAGTAAACCAGATTGCTTGTTGTATAACGCACTGAAGTAGGCAGAAAGCGTCAGTTCGGAACTAATTATCACAGCGGGTGCATACCGCTCAATGTTTACCCTCGTGTTCGTCGGAGGTAGACTGGCGCGTTTCAGTGATGGTAAGTGTTGACTTGTTCCCGATAAATGAACTCACTGACGACCAAACTTTTCGGCGTTCACGAGTCCTTGCAGAGCATAATTTACCGCCAGCATCAGTCGCGTGTTTGTAGTTATCTCCTAACCAGACTTCCTGTTTGAAGTATGGATCTCACTGTGATATCTAGGGAGTAATGTTGACCACGAAGCTGAGAAGTAAAAGCCGAGGACATACTGTTTCGCTGATGTCACCTCATCTTCACCTGACAGCTAGCCTTGACCGTGTGCTTTTGACACGAGTTAGACACCTGACGCCGAACGCTTGCTTAGGGCTTCTAGATCTGATAGGCTAGTTCCTACTTCTCTCTTTCTTATTGTGCCACTATTCCTAGGCCACAGTTGCTGTAGGACAATGAAGTACCAGCTTAAATTATTGCTGTTCTATTGTTGATTATGTCAATAACGACCTTCCCGCACGCAATTTCCCCAGAAAACCTCAGATGTACCTCGACGTTTGACCGACAGTATAAAAATAGTACATAAGGCACATCAGTGGGACACACCAATAGTCTCCAGAAAATAGATTTGCTAGTTTTGAGATTTTTACGTGGCAACAAGAAATTACCTGTGGATAGATGAAGCGGAAGTTCGGCCAGTTAACTATCAGTTCCCCTGTTCTTAAGAAAGCTCTGTTACCAACCTTTCTCACTGAACCTAGACTATTAATATAACTTTGATATGACCATTAGCTAGTGAGTTATTTCACTCTAGATGGCTCCTTACTACGCATAACTTATTCTGGTTTTATTTCTTCTCGTATAAGTTTTTTTACTGGTCCCAGTTAGTCACTTCTTTACCGGAGGAATTTTGAGAACAACTTCATCACCGTTTACCCAGTGTCGTAAGTATCACAAACATAGTCCACTGTGTCGTACTGTGTTCGCCTGGTAGTTGAGATACACCATTACGTGAACATTCGATAGATCGGAGCTCGGATCTCCTCCAGTGTAATCACCGAAACAGCGGCTTTATGTTGCCATTTGCCTTTCCATCAAAGGTTCGAGGGCAAATGCGTAATTATTCACTTCCATGATTTCTCTGGAAGTGGATGAGGAAGTGTAAGTGTATCTGATGTGCACGTTTGATGTGGCTCATGAGTAACTGGTGAGTGAGGATAAGGGTATGTGTGGTATTGATAGGTCTCCCCATGCATTTGGTAAAATCTAATGGCTAAATTGGAAGCTCCATCATCTGTAAAGTAGTTGCCTAGGGAAGCACATTTGTTGGGCAGTACTTGATGGCAATCCAGTGCCTATTCATTTGCATTCGACCAATATTCTGCCTTTAACTACTAGACCAAAGTAACATTTCCCCTTGAAAGCCGGGAGCCAACTCTGAGCAAATGCAATCAGATAGATTTGAACAATAGATATAGTAGTAAGCGTGAATAAAAGCTGATCTATAAAAAGCAGTGACGATATGGTTGGTCGCAATATCAGGATAGAGCATTGATAGATGGAAACGCGCTACATTAAGGCTTCAGTTCAAGGGATATGGTGCTGAACAAACTCCATTAGGGTGCATCTTATAGTAAAGAGGTGAACATATTGCTCTCTATGGCAACATAAGAACAGTCACCAATACGGTATGCTCCGGCGCTTGGTAGCAGCACTGCCCTGATCTTAGTTGTAGTGAACGAGTGTACGAAATTGATAGCTTTGCACTGAACCATTTTTCGAAGCCAACTGAATATGAGGATTTTTCCGATTGCTCGTTATTCCCCAAAGTGGCTACACTGAGGCACAGACTGGGTCTGTCCGAGAAATGTAGTGTTCAATATCGACAAGTACAAAGCGTCCACCCAATTCGCGCACCTATTTCTACGGTCTTAAACAGCAAGTATCAAAGATCGAACAAACGCAATCTCTGGAAACCAGTACCAGACCGATTGATCAGTTCGACCTAGTTGGCTACAGCATCAAGAAAATGTCGTCTACATATAGCATTATTGCTTATCAGATCAACGATACTCCTCTCAAATACTCGTTGCTGAAGCACATCATCAGACCAGATACGCTGTCCGAACTTGCATACCTTAATGGTGTCAAGATCTCTTCCTAAAAGAGTTGTACTTTGGCGGACCAGATAATGTGACTTGTTGCGGGCACGTCCAACATTCCCGCAAAAATGCGCCAGAAACCCCGGCAGAATGGCTGTGCAAGCCGAGGTGCAATTCCTCCCCACAACGCAGCAGAGCTCAGCCCCTCCGAGACGCGGCCCAACTGCGCACCTTTCGACAATGCTCATTTGCAAACTACCACCTCTTCGTGGTGACTGTTTTCCCTAACTTAATAACCCATAGCACTGGCTGTGATCGCCCTTTGTTGGTCGTAAAAGAGCCTACAGAGGACCACTTGTCTTTTTTTCTCTTCGCCTCAGTTGGGAGTCGGTCGGGTCGCCTGATTGCGTGTGAGTCGTTAGCTGGCCAGCCTTCGCGTCTAAGTCATTAGCGCGCGTCTATCGTAACCCCTCTCGTGTGGGTCCGTTCCGAGGGATCAGCGTCTATCCGAATAAGTGCGGCTAGGATCGTTCACACGCTCGCTCAATTTTCCGTCTCACGGCTAAGCTAGCGTCATCAGGTCAGCGCAACTCCGTTCGAGTGGCCAGCGTTACAAGCAATTATCGTAGGCGTGCTCCAACCGTGCCAGCGACAATCTTATCAGGCAATTACGCAATCATAACAGAAGCGGCGTTCCCTCAATTATAACAGACTAATGCACTTATCAAGTTTGGGAGTGTTGACAGCCCCTTGATACTACTGAATATGTTCAAGATATCCATGAACTCTGGTGCCGTACCAACACAGTGGAAGGAAGCCATTGTTATACGGCGACAAAAACAAGGCTGCCTGTTAGAAACAACGATTTATCGCCTAGTAAATCACCACCTATCCTATCAAAAACGATGGAGCGACATATCAAAGCTACAACGGTCGACGTCCTAATGTCTCGTAAGTTAATCAAGTACCCTCAGCACGGCTTTTTGAGTGCTCTTTCTTGCATGAAGTGCTAATTTGCAATTTTACATAATCTAACTGCCTCTGGGACAACGGCATGTTTGCAACCGTTAGTTACCTGGACATGCACAAAGCTTTTGATCGAGTGCCCCACGGAAAACTAATATCCAAGACGATGTCGTATGTAATCGGAGAACCCCGGTTTTGTGTTCCAAACTATACCTTAAAGACCGCACACAGGCGGTACATATTCCGGAACTCAAACCTGAACCAAATGCAGTCACAAGCGATGTAGTATAGTGCAGTGTTCTTGGTTCTCTCTTGTTCTCTAAGTTAGTTAACGATATCTTTGACGGAGCGAAATTCGGAACACCAACTACTTTTCCAACAATATCAAAATTATCTATATTTTCGCCCTGCTACCACAAACGAAGCTGTCAACATGATCCAACGCAGCCTCCACGCGCTCGGAATCTGGTGCTCAAAGTGGGGAAGGTAATTTACATTTTGCGCTGTCTTGCAAATGCGATTTAACATCTATTGGTCTGACAATTTGTGATAAGGAAATTAATATATGCCCTTAATGTTCGGGACCTGGGAGTGAGATACTCATTCTCGCTCAGCTTCTCCGGACAAGTAAATTACTTCGCTGAAAAGACCAGACAACGCGTTGGAATGTTACTTAGTACTTTTACTTCGGTAAAGTTTTGCTGCTTATTCATCAATTGTTTGCTTCTGAGCTACTAATCATTGGTGACAGCAACACGAACAAACGCTGTCGCATTGTATCAGGACATGTGCAATGAGCTTTCACGAAGCGTCTGGTAAATAATTAAACAGGGGTTGATATCGACTATGGGAAGTGCCTCATCGAAATCAGAATTTTTCGAAGGATTCTACATGCTCAAACTTGCTACCCTCTGACTAAAGCGCATGTTCATATCACTATCATATTCTTTTACGTCTTGTACAGGCAAATACGTGTTTCCAATCTTAACATGGCAACAGTACGTTCACCCGTATACAACACATGAAATAAGAAGAGTTAAGCAATGCAATGCAGGTCAAAGACCAACAGATCCGTGAACTTCTTCCTTAACAAAATCTGGAACAAAGTACCATCGGAAATATGTGATGTAAAGCAAAACAAGAATTTTGCATAAAGACCAACAATAATTGAGTGTACAAAACGTTATCATGATATTGGTATTCCACAGAAAAGACAGCCA